TCTATCTTTTTGAATATAAAGATTATTTTATTTCTAGCTCCCCAATAAAATATACTTTCATATCTCTTACTAGCATTACAACATTTTGTTGAACGCTTGCCGATGATCGGTATAAACAGATATTATCTACATATCTAAATCAGAGTTTAGAGTCTTGCTGGAATAGCTTTGCAAGATAAAGCATATATAGGACTAGCGAAAGGGGTAAGCCTTATAGGATACCGCATTCCATTATACTATAGCTAATTATTGCTTTATTAAATCTAATCCTAAATTACCTTTAGATTAAGAAGAAGTCGATTAGAGTAATTAGATTTTGTAGAAACCCCTGTCCCCTCATTCATCTCAAAAGTCTGTTTTTAAATAGAGTATCGAACGCTCTTTATACATTTAGTGTAACTATTATAATCTCGTAGCCTTTATTGAATACTATTTCTATATTATAAACAAATGATGCTATTAAGTTTATAGCCGATTGTTTCGAAAGGGTACCGCAATATTGTAGACTGAGTATTTCTTGTGTTAAGGCTATCTACACTAGATGTCTTGCTATAATCCTTTCAAGGCCCTTTCCAATACAGAAGAGGAGAATAATAAACTGCTATAATCGTAGGGATATTCAGTCTGTCTTCCCCACTTTTGGTAATATAACTATCTCTACTTACTTTCATATTATAGGAAAGTGATTGAGCTATAAATACTTATTAAAAATGATATATAGAATTGGGTCTATTTTCATTCAAATAGCCTTTAGTAGTCTCACTATAATCCGATCTGTTCCTAAGGATATACTTAAGATCCCTATAGTGTTACGTTTCATTTTCTTTATAGAGATAGACTCCCCTCAGAATAGTTTTTCTTCATTTTGATTATATCCGGAGTCTGGGAGATTGTTAATAGTTTTAAAGTATTATAGAATCTCTGAATATAGTAGCTCAGCCTTTTCTTCATCCAATATAACAGTGTGTTTGCTTATTATAATCAATGGAAAGCAATATATAAAGCTCAGGTTATATCATCTGATCACTTTATATAGATCTCGATCTAATTTCATCTCATTAAAGAATTTCCTTCAATATTCTTTTTTGACCTATCATATATACAATAAGAATACTCTATATTCTATAAAGTAATTACTATTAATTGTATAGCTTTAGAAATATATATCTTGAGTAATTGTATAATCAGATATCCATCAGGAAACCGATTTTCCTATTTTCCAATCCAATCTTCCTATTGTTCTGATTACCTGTTGTAATACCTTCTATATATTTTCGATAACTCGATCCAAGACTATACTTATAACTATTATCTGTGCCTTCTGTTTGATTCCCATTATATTAGTTGATACCATTCTTTGAAACAAAGGTAGATCTTCCTCCCTAATACAATATACATATTGAAATCTCGATACTAAGCTCGTTTTTTATATAATAATAAAAAAAGTATTGTAATCAGATCCGTAATATATATCAGCCCTTATTTCTATATATATTTCTAGAATATTGGAAAAGATTAGATCAATTATATATCCTACTTTATATATCGCTTAACCCAGAATATTTATAAACTTGAAGTTTTTATTACTAGATTATTTCACAAGCCGATTACTACCATATACTATATTCACATCTAACTCGAATAATGTATAATAAATATTGAAGTCTCCTTTAATAATTATATCCCCAATTAATATTAGGTTAAGAATCATTTTCAGAATTTTTAAGATATTCGGTTTTCTATATAGATTTAATAGTTTAATTCCGTTTATAGAAAGCTATATATAATTTTTATACTCCTTTCCTGCTAATTATAATATTTGTAGTCTAGTCTCAGTTCTAATATATATCATTACTCATAAGTATCCCTACCCTTCCTCGTATATTCCATTCCCCCTCCAGGAGGTTATTGGGGACAGATATTAGTATTCATTATATATTTGAGTATATATATTGAATACTCAAAACTTTTATATATATATTACATTAATCTTTTCCTCAAACGCTCGCTATAATACTACTGTATATAATACAAGACTTTTCCATATATTTATTTAGACAATAAATAGCGAATTTGATTTATTTATATAGATCTTTTATTGTTATATCATATCCCCTAGTTATAATCTAATTATTCAGAGTTTCAAGGTTGAGATTCTTGTTGATCTTTATTACTTTATTATAAGTAATACGTTGATCTTGTATATCCCGTTTTTTATTTGTTGAGCTTCCCAAAATATCGTTTGCTTACTCTTTTTCAATATCGCTTTTCGAGTTGCTGTTATTTTTGTATCGGGAGACTGCATCCATTCTAGATTTCCTTTTCCTTTTTGTATTATTACTAGTATTTGAATTGTTATTGCTAATACTGAGGCAATAATAATACTGATCTCCCCTGTTTATCGGATGATCTGGATCTGTTTTCGATCTAAATATACTGTTTTGCTATTTATCCACTAAGGCTTGATAGGGCAATTGTTTATAATCCGCTGGAAAGGGCCTGCAGCATCCTGCACATATATTGGATAATTACAATCCCTGGTTGACTTATAAATAGATAGCAGGTGTGCACACTTTCTGTATACCGCTTCTCTTTTGCATTTCTAGTTTTCATAATATTGCTAACATCCTGAGTTATATCTTCCCAAGGCTTGTTTTCTACTTGCTAGGAATATTCGGATTTGTTGAATAGATTACAATGAAATGATTGCTCCTGAAAGGATAGTATCCAGATGATCCGATTCTGCTTATCTGCTTCGAGCTTGGATCTTGTTATCTATACTAAACATAATCCCATTTGATATAGATTTCTTCCCTCATTTGTTTTTCCCCAATTTTTGTGAGTATTCCCAGAAGATTGGTAATGATCATCGGAATCTCTGATTACTATATATGTATACCATAGCTTATTAATTACAAGATCTATAGCTTTAATAGTTGCTATAGCTTGTGCTTGTTTGTAAGAAGGATTATATAGGCTTCTGGGAAAACTATGACTGCCTACCCAGTTTGGATAAATATTATTACTGCAATAACTCTAGCCCCTAGAGTAACAATCTCTAGAACCGCTTTTACTAATATCTATCTGATCCCCTATAAGGACGACTCTATCTTGATTCGTTTGTCGAATTAAAGGAAAAGTCTTTATCTGTGCGTTCTAATCTCGGTACTCCGCTAATCACCCGCTTAGGCCCGTTTGCAGCCCCTGCTTCCATAGTTGAGCCAGAGGGAATAGCGATTGCGGTTTTGGGGGTTCAAAGCATCCCCATATACGTTTGCATAATTGGCTTTACGCTTTCTATTGCTAGCTTCGAGTTGAAGGTCCCTTTTATACCATCTATAATGACTGTTAATGCTCTGCATACCAATTCTCCTGCCAATCAGCTCAGATCCTGTTCCGCAAATTGCACTGTAAACTGTACAAGGATCGTCTCGAAGCTGATAAGTACTAGAGCCTTGTCTGCAGTACACTTCTATTATATATCGATCTTCTTCTGAATAGCTATCTTTACAGCTGTTTCAATAGTGTTCTGACCACTCTCGAATAAGCTTGAGAGGGGATCAGCGCTTTTGTTACTAATCCGCACTCTCTTCGGAGTAGTAATTGAGGAGCGATTATCGAGATCGATCGGGGAACCTGCTGTCCCTATAGGTAACGACTAGCTCGCCAGCCCTCTCTGATTCTACTACAACAACATTCTCGAGCCAAGCAGCTCGAGCGCTACAGCAATCGCACTAGTATATATATTATATAATATGATTTCGGGATATCCGTAGATATAGTTGTATAAGCTCGTGTGTCTTGTAAGATTTCAATAAAAATAGAAATTCTTTAAATTAAGAGTTTTCTTTTGTAAAAAATAAAATCTATAGAATTTAGAATATTCGAAATATGAATAAAAGATATTTTGAAGAATTGAAAGTAAAATAGAATAATAAAATAAATAATTATCTATGTAAAATCAAGGGATTTTATATTATTAAATAATAATTAATTTAATAAAATCATTATTTTATTCATTATTTTTAGAATTTTTAAAACAATTAAATTTTATAAAAACAATATTTCTAATATCAATATCATATTCAGGAAATATCAAAAATATTAAAATATTTGATAATATTAATGATTTTTATTTAATTAATAATAATTCAATTAATTCAGGATTTGATATAATTGAAATCTAAGAATAACCTCAAATTCGCATATTTCAGTTTATTCTATATCAATTAGAAATCCGTATTCCTATATTTTATTAGTAATATTTAATATTAGAATAATATTGAATTCCATACTATATATATATATATATTTCGAAAAAATTCGATATGCACCACTAAATTAACCTGTATACAGAATACAGGAAATACTAATGCCTATACTGTCCGAGAGCAAGATAAGTGGCAAAAACAGTCTCCCAAAAAGGAGCTTTCTGTGCGATCCAATGCCAGAATATATAGTGCAGACTTGTGGTCATGAATTGCCATTTTTTGTTCTCAGTATATCTTCATTGGAGCTTTAGAGAAGAAGCCTCTTACGCTTACCTCGGGAGTCACAGATATTATGTATCTCGCGGAATCTTGGAGAGAATTGAATGAGAGACTCTGTGCTCGCGCTGTGAGATGACAATTGCGGATCAGACGAGGTATCTCTTATAATTATCAGTGTTTTCTTTCATGAATTTGCTATTCAGCAATGCTAGGTTGAAGTAGACATGTTGCCACACACCAACAATGACATTTGGGAGAAGTCCATTCTTAATTGATACGAGCCTCTCAACACATTTTGTCACTGCATCATGTTTTTGATAAAGATCTTGCAACTAAGTGATAGAGGATTGCTAGAGAATCAGAATAAAGGGCAAATTTGTAGCCTGATAACTAGGTAATGCTAGCCATAACACATATGAGACAGTAGATCCATTTAACAGATTACATCAGCTTAACCCCCCTGCAGGTAATATAAGGCGGCCACGCCATCGCCTCGAGATACTGGGTATCTCATAGTTTCTTTGCTTTCTCATCGATACTATATGCACCTGGGCCATTTTTTACTAGAAGAATGAGACCTCCTGCGATAGATAAGGTTTGCAGAAAATCATATTTAGCAAAAGATTTGCGAGGATGAGTCTGATGAAGCTATATTCCTGATCAGCGGATTTTCTCGTTTGCAAATATCATCTTAAACTCACATTCCAAAAATCATTGATAAGAAAGTTGAGGACACTTAACATGGAGACGAGAATAACGGCGCTCATCTTTGCTTTGTATCCGACAACGACCATAACGCAGACACCAAATCCAATGATGGATATGAAGACGCTTAATATATTCAATTCCAGGCTGCAAAAGAATGCAAGGAAGGTTAAAACAATGAGGACTCGACCGGCGAGCTGAACATACATCTTGTGGTCTTTTTCTTCAATCTCAGGTAAGCCAGGTGTCCGCTGATCTCCTGCGCGCCCATGACTCGCAGAACATTATCAGCAACCCCCCAAGAACCGAAAGGTTACGCAAGAAGTAGCCAAAGTCCGAAATCATGCCATAACATAATGCTTGCGTTATAACCACGAAAATGAGGCCTCCAGCTGCAAATCCAGTGTGTTTTTCTGGCAAGAACGAGGGAAGAGCAGGATAACATCAAAAGAACATTAGTAAGAAGTATGAGATTAGCTAATCCGTAGTAAACTTGAAGTAAGTTAGCAAAAAAATCCATGGTTAAGGTTAACCATACAGTACATACTTTTTCGGTATTGATTCAGAAATATGAGCTGATTCTTCCACTCAGTAACAATCGTAAAAGCATCCTCCAAGAATGTCACAACTATCAGGAATCTGCCCACGAGTGGTATATACCTCAGAAAATGTCAGTAAATAAATGCCTCAGCTACGTAATTAAAAAACCTACTGTTTGATGGTGCCGTTGTGGTCCTTCATAAAAGCTTCCATCTTGCTCACTTAGTGAATTAAAGAACTGAAACAGTCCATATAAATGATTTGGTTATGAGAGCTCATAGAGGTATGCGTGTCACTAACGTAAAAAATTCGGATGTTTAATGGATGCAATATAAAAAGAGTATGAGTTAAAACAAACGAAATTAGCCCAAAGGAAATGTTGGCTGTTAAGCTTTATTTACAGTTTCAGTTTGGCAGTACTACACAACAAGTGTGACGGCGCAATCTCATTATCCAGGCACTGATGTTTAAAGGGGCATGTGGAGTGGCTCACTGCTGTAAGCGACTGCGCACATTCCTGTCTAGAAAAATTGGAATGAATCTATGCCCGATACTCTGAGGTCAAAGTGTATTTGACGCAGTTCTTTCAAAGAGCAGCTGCCCTCGGAAAGAGTAAGTCTCTGAACACACACCAAGACCCTACAAACTTCTGACTATATATAGGCAGTCGTTGCTGCGTAATCACCTAGTCACAACACATCACATCCAGACATCCTTATCAATATTCAACCTTTTCACTAGATCCAACAACTCCAACTCCAGACAGAATTCGCCATCATGCAGTTCTCTCAAATCATTGTGGCCGCCGCCGCTTTTTTCGCTACCCTCGCCGTCGCTGGTCCTTCCTACCCTAACTTGTTAGATACTCGCGAGCCTCAGTGCTCCAATGGCCAGGTTTGCGAAGGTGTTAGCTCCGACACTTGTTGTTACAACGGTGACTGTTGTTATAACTGCTCTGATGGCTCTGATTCTGAGTGCTCCCCAGAGGTATGGTCAATTCCTGAAACGATGTATGGAACAAAGACGCTGACTCAATTACTTATAGATCACTGAGCGCTCTATCTTCGTCGAGATTGCTTAAAGAATCTGCGCATTGATCAAAGCCTATAGCACGGGAGAGGAGCTCCAAGCATCTTTCTTTGGTCACAAAGTCTTAGTACTTGAACTGCAGAGCGTGGTAGTGGGATTAAATGGAACTGGTGTAACTTTGTCTGAAGAAGAATGGATCTGGTTCTGGGCCCAATTCGAAACTCAAATACTCTCCACTGGCAGGTTTCCATACCCAGTTAGCAAATAAAAACTTTTTGGACCTCCATTATTGTGTTCTTTGTCGCTCGATACTTCATGTACCAAAATATCTGATGTGAAAATCTCAAACTTGCAACTCAGAACAAGAAGATTTGTCAGCACAAGTTGAACATTCTCTTGTCGTTAATTTCGAGCTCATCATTGAATCAGCCTCCTTTCAAAGTCAAATAAAACTTATATCAGGATGATATTGACGGCTCGAAATAAGTGCTGTAATAAGTTTTAGCATCAAATTGAGGTAAACTTAACTTTCATAAGGGCAAATACTAAATCGAAATTTTTGTTCTTTCGCTAGGCTAAATCTTCGATAATTCTCTCCCTGTGAGTAATATTTCAACTTTCCTAACCCTAAGAAGAATAATCTAAGACCCACCTCGAACGAAACAAGCTTTGGACTACTAGGTATGATTATCAAAGAATATGCCTCAGATCAATAGCTTAATATTCTTAATCAATACGAACTCAGATCAAACCAATCCCCATCAATTTACTCGAAGCTATTTCCATGGAAAATAGGTTCCAAGATCAAGCTATCAAGTAAAACTATTCGAAATACTATTAGCACATTCTTTTAATTCAAATTAGGTTACGGATATATCAAATTCTATTTATATTATTTCAAACTCATTAATAACAAATGTATATACAGTAATATTGAGGTACTACAATATCTCCTTATCAGCTATCCTATATATAAAACAGAAAGAAAAGAAATCTTTAAGAAAATCCTATTATCCAAAATCACTATACAATTTCTATTGTATATAAAGATAGGTATCGAATTAACTATCAAATTTATCAATATCATCAAAATCGCTATAAGGGTATGGCATCTAATAAGAACTTTTGAATAAGAAGTAATAAAGTAAGAAGTAATAGTAGAAAAGGAGAAAGGAAAAGAAAATGAAGAAGAAGCAGTTGAGGAAATAAGAGGAGGGTTTGACCTCCTCATAATTTCTTGATTTTCAAAATTTTCTTATTATATGCAATATATATAATGAGCGGTGTCACGGGATCACCTCTGGGAGTATTCAGAAGCTTTACCGCTGAGCTAAACGCCCAAAAGACTAGGAGGTAGAACTGGAAGTTCTACCTTACTCTCACATATATAGCAGGACAGGACAGGACAGAAAGGGCTTAGTGTCACCCCGTGACACCACCCCCCTCCCTAAGGTATGGTCCTCCATACCATCACCTACTAGGAGGTTTCAGGATTCTGGATTCTAATGCCTCAGGCATTCAGACAGGCAGACAGAATCTATATATGCTAGCCCCCAAACCAATGAAGGCTTGTAAGCTATAAGTGGGCCCCCCACACAGCTCCACTTATAACCAAGGGTAGTTCTACCTAATGTCACGGGATCACCTCTGGGAGTATTCAGAAGCTTTACCGCTGAGCTAAACGCCCAAAAGACTAGGAGGTAGAACTGGAAGTTCTACCTTACTCTCACATATATAGCAGGACAGGACAGGACAGAAAGGGCTTAGTGTCACCCCGTGACAAGCGGACATTATTCCCCAGGATTTGTTTTCACTTCCCTAATTAGATCATATCCAATATTGTAAATTAAAAAGTTACCCGTTAGGCCCTTAGGGCCTAGCTGTCCTATATAGTCTTGGACTGAAGATGGACGTTAATAAAATCAATCAATCAAGAATAATCTAATCTAAATGAATTGATTATAACAAAATTCAAGTCATTGATCTAAAATTCGCGTGTAAGGTGCCATTTCAATGTCAACTATATCGTCTTCTCTATGTCGATATCTTTGTATCATATACACAGCCTGAATAATCAGTACCGCACCCATGCCAGAAGTGACATCAGGTATAGTATGCCAGATCAGCCAATCCGCAACGAGGGCAAGAACCACCTGGCAGTAGATCATATGAACGGCATAACCATTACCTTCATCAGAAAGCCCTGCTGTGAGAAGGTACTCCTAATTGACTCGGTCAGTGTTGATTAATGTTTGAGGAATATTGTATTACCATGAAGGTTCCAGAGAGCCCAATACACCCCATTATAGACCACTGTAACAAGCCTAGATTAAAGTTGAAGTTGACTCCTGGGGCGGCAGCAAAACAAACACTGCTCACTATCAGGATGCCAGTGGCAAAACAGTTAGTTGTCACAAGTGGGTGTGATCGTGTCCCGATCTTGAAAATTGAAGAGTAAGCGCACTGAAAAGCTGACGTCAGTAGAATTCTAGGGAAGAAATTGATATTTTCAGCTTACTACTCCGCCCAGCACCCCGATCATTGCACAGGCCAGTCCCTGCCGCGACTGAGGGTTCCAAGTCTTCTGGGGATCATATCCATCATTGTAGTAAAGCAGGTCGGTGATGAAACTTAGTTTAGTGATAAGTACCACACCAAGGAAACAGATTGCTATGGAACCAATCTGTATCAAGGTTAATCTTTTTGTTGTGACGAGGCTAGCTCCCAAGGGTGCGAGGAGGTTCAAAGTTGTTGCGTCTGCTAGAGGAAGATACTGCAGAGAATCTGAGACGAAATTGAGAGTCAGTCGAGGGTTCGGAGGTGAAGATGCTCTTAACCTGATGTCAAACGATTGACAGGATACCCACAATAAAATCCAGCTGAACCACAAATGCCACCCAGACTTCTCAGTATGAGCAGACCTCTAACACTTTTCTTACCAAGAGGCAGCTCTTTCGGATAGCGTATCGTGAGGAAGAGACTGTTGATACTCAAAGTGATGAACATACGGACTTGGAGAATCTGTTGGGGGTCTACCGAGGCGGTTGTCTCTAGGAACTTGGCCAAGCCATGAATCATTACAGCAACAAATTGAGAAGCAAGTACTAGTAATGGTCCGTTGCTGATCATCCTGAAAAGACTAAAATAATAGAGTTGATGACTTGGCGGCTAAAGACATACAACACCGGAAGAGCGTATGTATATTTGGAAGGAGCTGAAAGAAGATGCAGACTCATAATACGACTTCAATCATATCGTTAAGCAATTGTATGCGACGGGCTCAGGCTTCAGCACGGACTCCGCCCTCGCCAATTCACCCTCGATTGCCGGCTAACACTCAAAATTGCAACTCCTTCAATCAAGTAATGTGTTACCCGGGCTTTTTTCACGATAAGGTTTTCTCTCGGGGTTCGTGAGAATTATGCGACTCTTGTTTAAATTGCAAAGCACCCTGCCCCGATAAGCGAGGCGACGATCAGACCGGATTTATTTCGCGGGGCACTTGCCACATCAAATGAAAACCACATCGAACGGCTTCCTCTACATCAAAATACCCATCACAACCATCCGATTATTTGAGTTCTTCTTCATTCACTCTTTCATCCAACATGGCTTTAATTTCGTCATTGTTCAATCCTCAGGCCGAAAGATGGAGAGATCAACATACAGTCGACAAAGCATCAACGGAAAGTGAAGAAAATTTGCTACCGAAGGATGAGGGCGACACAGACGCACCGAGACCATTGAGACCTGTAAGTAATACGACTCAAGTGGTCATCATAGTTACCATATTACTCTTATGGGGTGCAGCGGCTTTTATGGCGGGTATTATGACCAGTAAAATGCAACGGGATAGTTCTTTCGGTTCGGCTGAAAATGGATTTGTTGAAGAGAGAATTATTAGTAAGTCAAATGAAATCCATGTTTCCTGCTTTCGCCTCAAGATCGTTGCTAACTTTCCTTGACTAATAGCACCCTCTCAAACATTCGAGCTTATGCAGACAAGATTTTCTGGCGGGGTGGACTTCACCCCTGAAGGCGTAGAAGTCCTCGCTCCCTCACTCTACGTCGGCGAGCCTAGTCCTGAAATCGACGAAGCATGGAATGCTATCATCGGTGGAGAATCTCATTACTTTTCGGTCTCTGAGGATGAAGCTAGAAGTCTTTGGGGTACAGAGTCCGACAGGTATAGAGACAGAATCAGGGGTGGGTGGACTGGCACGTGAGTTTATACCGACTCTTCCAGGTGGCTTGCATATTTAACAGAGTTAGGCTCGACATGTTTCACTGTCTACATTGCCTGGTATGCTTTGCACTGAATCATGTTCGATATAAACGCCGCTGATAACTTGGCAACAGAATCAATTAAGAAAAGCACTGCGGCGCGACGTCTATCCCGAGGAAGAACATCGAGGGATGATACACCAATGTAAGTGGAACAAGACCCCTCGTCTTATTTGGAAAATCACAGCCAATCTCATTAATTTTGCAGTGCATTGTATCGATCATTTAAGACAAGTGATAATGTGCCAGGGTAGCAGCGTTATATCCCCTAGCGAATGGCATGATAAACGTGGCCAGTATATTAATCCTAAGCAAGTTCATACCTGCAGAGTTTTTGAAAAGCTTCACGAGTTTTCCAAAGCGAGATACAATGGGAGTATTGCTGTCCCACGCGGGCCGAAGTTACCTCTGCACCGACATACATCAGTCCCGCTCTTTACCTAGATTTGAATGAACAAATGAAGCGTCGGAGCTAAACCTTGTATTTAATTCTCACATTGACCGTTCATGCCCGAACTCCAGTGATACCTTGAAGTTTTTCTGCACTTTTCCCATACTATAGACTCCTGCTTTCTATTTTGAAGTATTCACTGAAGGCAGATTAAAAATGAGAATGTTGCAGACTTGACTAGTAATTCCGCTCTGGTCGAACGTACGTGAGTAAACACAACGATTCTAATGTGGTGAATTTCCAATGAATCGTAAATGTATGTTAAGCGGGAAATATCGCCTCAAAAATAAATCTAGCCAAGAACTTTCAACTCACTCCCATTGTATAGCTACTACAAAAAAAGGCATCAACATCAGCACTTCCCTTTTGGGGGAACTTCTCATAGTTACTCCACAAGCAGTTTCAACCCTCCCAGCATATCTGGTTCTGCGGCTTCACGTGAATCGGCGTTCCAGTCTTAAACAATGCCTTCTGAGTCGAAGTATAATTCTCGGCGGTGTGAGCGGTGAGGATTCTTATACAATGCTCTATATGATGCTGGCTTCTTGTGATTGAGTCCAAGACTGGACGTCTTGAGTTTGCGGCTTTTATTTGCTTTTCCCAGAGGAAACTGTTATTTCATGGCCCAAAGTCAGTAAATGTATAGTACCACTATTGAAGAGCTTGCGAGATCTGCTGCTGATTTCTTGCAGCCATGAATTAGCATGAAAAGAGAGGCTTACTCACAGGCAGTGCTGGGTGTGATATGTGGCGTGAGTGAAGATAATATCGAATTCTCCTTTCTGCACTTCTTCCTGTGAAAGCTGACCCGTACCCTTGCTGTGCTCCCAAAATGTGAAGTTGTTAACGACGAGGTATCGATCCGAGAGCTCTTTATCATAACATGGCTTGGGTAGCCACGAGGACATCATAATATCGAAAACGCAACCGTTTGCTTTTGCTTCTGCGATCGACCACCCGCATTCTCCTCGGTGAGTCAGAGCATAAGGGGAGGTAGTTGTGTAATGATTGTACAAAAGGAGTCCGGATGTCCATGCCAATATAATTGTTGCCGACAACACAATGTAAGTGTACCAGCTCACTTTTGCTCGCGGCTTTTTCTGGCACTCGTACTCCTGGGATGAAAACAGCGTGGAATCGCCGCTCTCCGACCCTGTACCCAAGAGGGGCGATTTGAGATATTCCGGGGATTCCATCTGTAGATATTTACCAACAGAATAATGGATATAATAATAAGTGCAAGAATGAGAACAAAGATTGGAAACTCTTGGTGTGCTGGGACAGAGTGATCCTGCATTAGATGTGAAGGTAAAGCAGGTGAAGGTCAAGAAATTCAAGAGGAAATTGAATTGAACTAATAATGCTCACTAAGGTCAGGCGCTATAAGAAAACCTCTTGAATGTTGCCCCTTTAAAGATAGCCCTCGAATCACTTCCCCCATCAAGTAGCGCTGCTGGTATTGCCCCCTTAAAGACCGGATAGACTCCCCACATGAAGATTAGGGTATATTCAGTTGGTCTAAGAGAAGACATGAATTCATCAGTCACGGCGCATCTTCCATCTCTTCCATCAAACAATATCACAAGACCACGATGAAATTGACCCGCTCCCGAAGCTACGAAGTAGTGCGCCAAAGTGAAGATGGATCTGAAAAATCAAGTCCAGCTGTTCAGTCTCTCTCAACATCCTTCTTGTACATGGGGTGGGTGTTCGCTGTTCTTTTTGCATTCATCAATGGAGTCCAGATTCTTTTGCAATCCAAGCAACACAAGAGCCGCGATCTTGGTTCTGGTTCATTCGGTACTGGATTTAGTACTGAGTTTGACCCATCAAAGCCTTATGTCCGACAAGAATCGAAAATGTTCTATGGAGGACCTCGCTGGTACGATAATGGTACTGGGTACATAGTCCACAATCCATCCGAGCCAAGATACGTCGGACCGCCTACAGACGAAGTGGACGCGGCGTGGAAGGAGTTGGTCAAAGGTCGATATTTCAACGTCACCGAAGAGGAGGCCGAGATCGCATTCGGAACGCCTCACGGACTTTACAATCACCCTGGTCTTGGCTACCTCGTGGGACTGGATGTCTACCATGCTCTTCATTGCGTCGACGAGATCAGAAAAGCTTTGGACAAGGACTTCTATTACAACAAAAAGACGAAACATGCCTATCCAGACAGAGCACACCGCGATCATTGCCTAGATCACCTTAGACAGCAGCTAATGTGCCATGCTGATCTTACACCAATACCAGTCATATGGTATGAAGGGCATGGGAGAAGTTTTGTCCAGTCGGATGTTGTACATACTTGCCGGAATTGGGATATGCTTCAGGAATTCAAGGACTCGAGGATTGTCGAGACGGTGTTTTAAGGAAACTATGTATCTGGACGGGCTGCAGGCAACCAAAGAAGGGACGAGGGATGGAGACACACGTAATGGTTGAATTCATTGTCCACAGGCACAATTTCGAGCATGCACATTGGTAAATTTCTACCGGTGCTGTGATGAGTATTTTCTATATTTCATGTATTTCAATTAAGTCCCACTTTATAACGAGTGTCAATATTTGTGAGGATATTTCGAGAGTATTAGTCAATTGTATATCATTGAGAGTATTTTATGTTCCAATAATGAATGTCGTCAGTAATATGTCAGATCCCAGCATATCGGGTCTTGCTTTGCCCCCATAAGCTTCAAATGCGACCAAAGCAAATGTACTGTCTGAGGGCCTTCAATAAATCTACTTTGCAGATTATCTGTGGATAGCTCTTAGGTAAAATAATCTGGCAGAGAACAATGAGATCTTTAAAGCCAATAATGTCTCGCGAATGGCTTTTACATGAACGAAGATTTTTTGTGATTAATTTGGTTGTATTCAAAGGACCCAAAGCTGATGTAAATGCATTTTGGTCTCAGACGCATCTTGGGTTTGTGGATGTGGGATGATGGATGATGGACGAAGTCAGGATTTTGACTAACTTTGGTCGAGCGGGATGGACTAAGAAAAGTAAGTTGGTGACAAGATCGTTGTCCGTAAGTTAGCAAGGTTTTCGAAAGAGTCTTTTCATGAATTGAATGCACCCGTATGACACAACATTTCTATTCAATCCTTCTAAAATTAATTTCCCGCTCTGCTATCATCAACCACACCTCCCCACCACGATATTGGCTTCAAAAGACTTCCATCTCGCCGATCATACATCTAAGCCTGAACGCCGATCTCTTGATCTTCGTCCCAGTTGCAAGCTGGAGCTGAGTTACGTTCGGGCTCCCGACCCGGTTGTAACAGTGCTCAACGTGCTCTTTAGAACGTGAAACACTGTCTAGGATAAGAGGGGACTTCTTATTCGCACGTATCTGTTTCGCCCAAATGTAGGCACAATGTTGATAGTGAAAGGTCCCATGACTGTATATGACCTCGTAGTTGCCCAGACGAGCCTCTGCTTCTGTCATGATATTGATACCCTCTTTTTCCCTATAAAAGGTGAAATTGTTGACCAGTAAAAACTCGTCGGACAGTTCTTGGTCGTAACAAGGAGGATGTACCCAACCGGACATCATGAGATCAAAGACGCACCCACTGTCTCGGGCTTCTTGCGGTGTACGGCCGCATTCTCCCATGTTTATGAATTTGGCTGACGATGGGCCGAAAGAAATCCTTTCACCAAGAATCGAGCCAATACCAAATACAACGAATAAAAAGGCTAATCCGACATAAATACCTGTGTACTGCCACTTCCTGATAGAATGTAGATGCGCATCATCGTCGAGTTTCTTATCGTCGCACAGAGGCGGCGACAATGTGCGATCGCTGCTGCAATCTTCCGGGTAGGCTTGCTCGGTCTCTGCCTCTCCTAGAAGTGCCAGTCTCTGCTCCATCTGATACGATAGTTTTAGCAAAATTTCCCAGCAATATCACAGCATCGTCTTACCTTACTCGTGCTGTGAAAACTCATTCTTAGAGTGTAGGATATCAGAAACAGCTTAAAGTCGACACATGGAGGAAAAATCGAGTTCTTCTAGCTAATTTTAGTATCTTCCTAACCTGCAAAGATCTTGACGCAGTGTGACGAAAGTAAAATGAGCAGACTGTGAAAAAGAATGAAGAAGGTGTCTTAATCTCTTGAAATTCTGTGACTAATTTAAGCGGCGCCAACATCACCGGGAAAAATGGCCACATTACGCATGAGTGTCTTTCAAGTATAAAGTGCCCCTCGAAAGATGAGCCTCATGCACTATTCGAGAACCTGGCCGCTGTCACATCATTAAGGAGTCAAGTATTCTCAACATCGTTCTCTATATGAGCGAGCAGAAAGAATACCTCGAGGTGAAATCTTTCAAATATAAAAGTGAGCAAGTGAAAGAGTACATCATGCGTGCTTTTATATCTTTCCAATCGAAGGCGCTAGAGCTTTGTTGCAATTCAACATAATATATAATTATACAGACAGATGATCCACCAATAATTCGTGGATTATCTATGCTGGGTGAATAATTTCAAAGTCTACGAATAATCTGTAGTGAGGATAGAACTCTAGCAAGTAGCCTGTGGAGTGGACTATCCCCAAACTTCTTAGGTGTGGGAATAATTTCTGCGCAGCCTTTCAAATGGTATAGAGCGAAATGCTCCACTACATATGAATACAAATCACAGCACCAAATCCATCACGTATGGTGTTCTTCTAATGGATACATCCAGTTCCTCAAAGCACTAAAATCTCTGCAAACGTGCCACATATCTGTGTCCGCATGATGTATATGCTTAGTAGGCCTCAGAGTTCTTGGAATTGGAGTCATATCAAGCTGACACATAAGGAGTTGGTGAATCTGCATTAAACAATGTTCTGCGTCCAATTTAGTTACGAAAAGCATCCTATAGATTCATACTTTGAACTTACTGAGATGCATGTCAAGCGGTCTTTGTGGATTTGGATCTCTTACGGGGCCAAAGTACCACTCAGGTGACAGTGACATTCTTATATAATTCTGATTGAGGTCAATTTTTGACATAGAGTTAAATTAAAGTCAAACTTACTAAACAATGAAGTGAATGTAATCCATTTGTCCTATAAAGAGAAGATTCGATGGTTAAAATGCTATTCTCCGCACAGATCAGAAAGAACTTGCTCCAAACGTATAGTCCCGTGCACCAAGTCTTTTTCTAAGAACTCAACCGCTTCCGATGGCCAGTCTTTGGGTGGAACAGCAATAAATCGATCTGGACATCACGATAACGTGTTAGTAAAGCTCAGATTTTCACTGTAGTTTGAAACATGCCTTTTAAATCGAGGTTCCAATAGTGGTCTGTTTCACGACCAGGGATGCCAAAATAGTCAGGGCCAGGTGGTTGAGTTAGAGACGCGGTGCCGTTCTCATCATATACAAATCCTCCATAAAACTTGACCCTTTTCAAAGCTAATGTGTTACGATCAGGTCCTATCGGGTTTCAGCTTCCCACATCATTTCGGTGCCTCATCATCAGAGCAACCCACTTATTTCAGTCTCGAATCCTCTCTCATAACTACCTAAAGGACCATCACAGTCTGCAGCTTTCCCCAACATTGTGCTGGCCAACGCTACTGCAAGCAATAGTGATAAAGTGTAGAGGAATATGGCGTGGAATCTAGAGATGCCATTCCTATTACGGAAAGTTGTTGAGTCCACTTCTGCTGCTTTCGTGTTGATATCTTCTGTGTCGCTCTCATGGTGATTGGATTGAGGAATATTTAGGTAAGCATGGGGCAGTATGTTGCGGAAGCCGTTCCAGAAGTTGACAAGTAAAGAAGCCATGTGTTGAAATTAATAGACGTCCACTAATTAAACGTCTTGAGTCGAGCCTCCATTTTTACCACGCACTTATATTTGGATGTAAGTCAAGGTTGCCAAAGCAAAGTGAGGGGTGCCTTGATATGGGAATTGTTTGAGAGGACAGTTGCCACCTGGAACAATTGGGATACGCATTGTTTAAGAGGACAGTTGCCTCCTGGAACAACTTCACTAATCGTCCACATTTCGCAAATTAACACAATTTGACCCCGGCAGATATTGTATGAACTCGACCTACTCCGCTTTCCGTGACGAATCGAAGACTTTCGTCAGAATGAATTGAATGTTGCTTTCAAGTCATAGATTTGGTTTAAATGTCATGAGCCACTGAACGCATTCATTCATCTTGGTTCTCAACTCTCTTCAGAGGGGAGTCGTGAAGACGCTATACTTTCTGTACAATTTGAATTTAGAAATGTTTGAGGCAGCGCATGGCCATCTGGAATAGATTCTGAGTTTCTAAAACGGAAACTCGGAAACTTACATCATATAAGCTTTCGGCTCTTCTTACTTCTTTAGAGAGGTTGAACGGTGGTGAGTTTGGAGAGCGGTATGGACTAATGAGCCGAATAAAACCCGTCGTAACATCATCCTTTAGATTTGAAACGAGAATGGAAAAACTTATCTCAAATCAAGCCTTTTATATCTTCTTATCATTTCATATCATACAATTATTAATACCTCTTGTGACGTATGAGGAGCGGTAGAAAACAGGTGACTTGACCGGGTGGATAATGATTCGTGTTTGTCAGAAAGTGTAATTCAAAGATAATCACTTCATACTCCACTTTATTACTAATCTGTAGAAAGAATCCCCACTAACAACAACCTTTCGTCGGAAATCTCTTGATAAGCAGTATTCGGTTTCTGGGGAGAGATGGTATAAAGTCGGATACCCCACTTTCGGGCCATCCCTCTTTTAAGCCATCACAAAAAAGCTTATTATAAGAAGATATCTTTTCTATTCATTCTTTAATAACTTTATAAACGTTTTATTAATTGAATTTAAAAATTTGATATATTATTAATTATATTATATCTAAATTAATAATAAAAAATAATATTAATATAACTTTTATATATAATAATAAATAATATTTAATATAAGATTATTTTGGGATTTTTGGATTTTAAAGATTATTTTTTAGAACTATATAAAAAGTCATTTATTTTATTAAAGAATATTTAAAAATATATATAAAATAATTTCAATATGAAAAACAAATTAAGAAATTAAATTTTGATTCAAAAGTTTTTAAATATTAATTCTATATATTATAAATTTATAAAATTAAGGAATATCTTTTTAATATTTAAAAAAAATTGGATTTGAAAAATAATAAATTACAAATCTTTTTTTTAAAAAAATCCAGAAATTAGAATTGAAAGATAAATTAAAATCGATTTAATATATATTAAAAATATAATTATTAATATGTTAAGAGTAATTTTCAAAATTCGATTTATTCTCAATTATTATATTAAACCCAAGATTTCAATATTATATAAATAAAATAGATATACAAAAAAGTTAGGAATTAAATAAATTAATCTTAGAAAGTTTATTAAATATTATTTTGTTTAAAAAAAAAGCTTGATTTTAAAGCTTAAATATTATTTATAAATATGTTTTATTTTTAGCTATAGTTTTTATTTCCTTTATTATTTATAAAGGAAATCAATATAATATAATAATTTCTAATGAATTTGATTATTTACACAGGATAGAATTTATTACTACAGAAAACAGATAAAACTATCACGGTGTGTGAACTACGTAACATGTTGATCCTATCGAATAGAACCTAAATGGTGCTGCGCTGGAGCGCAAGTGGGCTAGGCCCGATCGGGCTAGCTCGCTTGTGAAAATTCTATATATCTTCAATTTGGAAGACTCTACATTATAGCTTTTCGAGTTACGTCTTAATCTTCAATCTGAACCTGTTATTTGAATTAATATAACTTTGTTAAATCAGAACAAAGTTACTAGAATCCTATTCTTGTCTGTCTGCCTCGCGATATAAACTATAAATAATATTAGTTTAGAATAACTTAAAAGGATTTTATTCCTTAAACAACTCTTTTCTCATTGAATAAACCCAGATTTGTTATATTAGATAGATATAAAAATTATAAAATAATTAAATTTATATATAAATACTTTAAGTATAATATATATTTTTTATTTCTATTATTATAACGAGGTTTATCAATAAACAGGTTATATTAGTGAACGGATTATTTCGAAAATCATTTAAATTAAGCTTTTTAAAATATTAATATTTTAATAATTAATTATTATTTTCTTGAATAAAAGATCTTAAAAAATAATTAAAGTATAGATTTTTTATTAATTTAATTTTTATAAAATAATTTCATCATTTTCTAAAAAAAAAACGGAAATTATTATGATTTTTGTTACAAAAAAAATATTTTTATAATAACAATTTCATAAATTCTAGTTTCTTAAAATTAATTAGATTTTTAAAATTATTTTATATCCAAATATTTTGTATTAAATTTTCAGAAAATTATATTTATAAATAAAGAAAGTATATAATTATATACAAACGAATTTTGTATATAAAATAAGTGATTTCTTTATTAATATAACCCACTTACTAATAAACCACGTTATATGTTATACATTTTATAATCTCTTGATTTATTTGTTTATATTTTTATTTTTTTAAATGAATATATAGATATTATATTAATAAATTACCTTTTTTATTGAATTCTAGATTAATTAAAAAAATCAATTTTCTTATATATTATTAGAGAATATAAATAGATACTTTAATAAAATATAATATATTAATTGAATAAAAAGCTTTAGGTTAATAATCTATAAAGTGTATTAACGTTTATTATATTTAAATTATTATTTCAGAATAGTAATAAAGAGATTATAATTAGAATATAGATTTGATAATAATCTTATTATATTAATAAAATATAGAATTTTGTAATTTTAATTTTAAAATATTTGAAAAAAACTAATGATTTAAGACAGATATATATATATAATAATTTGAAATAAAAAAATAGATACTTTATATATAATTAGCTTGTTAGAGTAGATTACAAGGTGACAACTAGTATAGAGTATAGGTGTAGATCTAGAATAAGACTTTTCATTGATTCCTTTAAAACCTATTTCTGAAGCTATATATATATAAAGTTCTTTAGTATTAAAATAATATTAGTTTAATATTAATTTTATATCAATATTTATAATAGAACTCTTCTTTTTAAACTTTTATTTTTAAAAGTTTTAAAGCTATTTAATAGCCAATTACTATTATATTATTAAAGTTTTATTAAATTCTATAGCAAGAACTAATTGTATAATACTTATATTCTTATTTTATAAGATTAGTTTTTTTATAGTTTTTGTTTCGAAATAATATTAAAGGTATATTATAAAAATACTTTATAAGTATTCTAAAAAGTTTAAACTATAAAAATAATTTTTTTTCTTAGCTTTTTTTTAACTCAATTTTGATAAAAATAGGGGGTATTATAATAATCTGAATAATATTAATTTGAATAATACTAATTGTTTATTGATAGTATATCTTAAACATATTGTAAACATATTATAATCTAATTGAAATAAAATCTTCGAAAGGATTATCTTCAAAGCTTTGAAACTATTCCTGAAAACTAATCGCTGATTTATTCTAAAAAGATTGAATGAAAAGAATTATTAGAATAGATGTAAGATAATAATCAGTATAAAATATAAATATAAATTTAGAATAAAACTTTTCATTGATTCTTTTAAAATCTTTTTCTGAAGTTATATATGTATGAAAATTCTTTAGTATTGGAATAATATCGGCCTGATGCTGGTTCAATATCGATGCTCGTAATATAGCTTTAAGAAAAATTATTAAAGGATTTGATATTAAAGATTTTAAATTCATATAATCTAAGTATCGAATAAAGCAAATAGAATATTAATTAGAATAATTTATTTTTAAAAAAATATAAAATAGAAACTAATTTAAAATCAAAGATATTAAAAAGGTATAAATCAGAATAAAAGATTGTAAAATTGATATAGGGTATTCTAATAATAATAATGAAAACATATCTTCAAGTATTTATTATAATACTAAATGATTATTGAATAATTAATATTTTAATATTATATAATATAAGTTTTTGAGATGGTTTAAAAGAGGTGTAGTCTGAAGGTGGGGTATCCGACTTACACCCCGCTTTTTTTCGATAACACCTTGACACCTTTTTGAACAACGTTTGCTTGGTCGGCAATTCGAAAAAATCCGAGAGTTTCAAACTCCTTCTTCGAAAGAGGCCTGTACCGGTACAATACACTTATCTCGATAATAATGCTTGACAGAACCTTTCGTTATAATCTTCCAGGTTATTCCAAGTAAAGCTTTTAGAACTTCTCACCCATTCAGGTCGTTCGGATAGGTAATAGTACTTGATAAAAGCCCTTATAGGATGACCTTCTGAATTCAAAACATGATAGGGAAAATGCTATCTCAACTTAAGGTTTCGGTCTTCTTATTTCTTTATGCGATAAGCTTTCTCTGGACAGCAGCACTTGTTGACAACCCGCCCAAGGTTCTCAAGTGCGATCGTCAGCCTGTCACAATCTCTTTATGAACTTTAATTTGATGCAGTGTTGGAAATAAACTCGATGGCACGATGGTACTTATGGTAGGACATCATTTTGTTTATAAAGACCCGGGTCTTGGATAGCTTGGCCGCTTGGCCGGTTGGCGAATTGAATTTTGAATATCCAAGCGCTGGCAAGCAACATGATTCGAAGACAGCTACTAGAACCGGTCACGGAGTTTCAACTGGCATTAGAGAACGTGTCTCTGGGGGATGTAGTTCAATCACCGGTCAGCTGTGGTCTCATGATTCTAATGCGGATGATGCTTTTTGTGTGTTAGAATGCTAACTAACCCTAAATATTAGGATGCTCTACATAGCTTCAGGAAATTTTTGCGACGTGGAACCATTCTACAGCGACGCCAACTTCTTATGGAAGCGCAGAAGCTTTCCACTCAAACTTCATTGTCACATGATCTTCATCTCATTCAATCGCCGTCCCTAGAATTTGACAACAGTACTACCTACACATCTGATGTCACATCTGAAAACTGTAAGAAGCGGCGCCTGGACGGTCTGTTGCAGCAATCCAGTCCTCTAAATGGCTCTACTCGCAAGCGGAGAGTTCAACCCTCAAGGGCGGCCTCTAGTTCATCAAATGCCACTGCACACTCCCCCTCTAATAGGATGGTCCCTTCAACTACGTCCTACTCTCAAGAAATTGACAAAGACCCAGAGGATGGCCATGTTCAAATTCACATCGATGAAGATGGAGGAGATTATGCCTTGACGCCGGACCGTGTACAATCGCCGCGAACTGCATCTTATGTCCCATCCCGCAATCCCGCTATTCCCAACATCCTTGTCAAGGCGAGGGAGTTCTTTGAGACGATGCTTACTAAGCGTGCGAACCGCGCTAAATATCTTGTTCGCGCCGTCCAGGGGTTTCTTGAGGCACCTCAGCTCCCGTGCGATTTCGCAAAGGAGATGTGGAACAAGAAATCAGCCATCTTTTCTAAACCAGAAGTTACAGGCTCCACAGCTCGCTTCCGAAGTCTCTATGAGGGCCATCGAAAGATTAAAAGAGGTGGGGAGGAGTATCTCGCTGCAGCTCGCTTCTGTTATATCTATTTGGAACATGATTTGGAGCAGATAATTCAATCTCAAAAACTTGTGTTGTCTCAAGGTAGAGGAAAAGTGACGGCTGCCTTTCAGCTACAGGCGAAGAACATCTCCGTCACCATGGACGCTCTTCGAGCTGAGCGTAAGGCCGGTCGAGGATATATTCGACTTTTGATGGAAGGCGGACCTGGTTTCGTGCTTCGCATGGGTAGCAATGTATCGACTATGTAAGTTTCATTTTTCTATGGTCAATGCTTTAGATGCTAAAGAATTTATTCAGATGGGAAAGAAAGCTTAGTGTCAGCGATATCATTCTTATTATAGAATTTATCAAGTCCTATGCCATCGAGTTATATGACGAGATTAAGTCATACGATCAAGCTGCTGTACAAGCACTCCTAAATGGTTTTATCGCATATGGTTGGACCAGCACGGAGATTCGTGAAACAAAAAGTTCGCTGTTTGACGAATTACAACGCTATGCCAATTTAAACAACCAATATCCTGGAAAAACAGTAGAAGAGAATTCCAATATAACGTCTCTCGCAACACCAGTATCAGAAATCTGGGATGGTGTAATGAGACAGAATGAATCCCCTTCTATGCTTTCAGACCTAGATCTGCTTCTAGAAGAGGGGAATCAGACGATGTCAATGCCAACGACCTCCGAGGAAGATCCAGAATCAGTCCTTGGCAGCGACGACTTCGGTAATATCGGAACGACGACTCTGGAGCTTGACCAGGCTTTTTTGGGAGGGGATTTGGAGACAATGCTTGATACAATAGAGACTTCTGGCTCTGAGATACAACATGATCTTGATTTCTTCCACGAGCTCTTCCCAGATTTTACTGCCTATGAAACTTCCGTTCATTCTCTAAACAGTGAGTGTTTGGACACGCTAGTCAGATAATAATCTCGTAGTAACCGATATCCCTACATCGTGCACGTCCCTGTATCGTGCACGCTTTTTTAGCTTTCAAAAACATCAATATCACCATCTAAATATTACGACAATATATCTTCAGAAAGCCGTATAAAGCTTGCGCTAGATTATATTAAAAGTCAAGAATATTCTAAATATATCCAGATAGCTCATTTATATAGAGTTAATCGTATTACACTCTCAAAATAGTATAAAGGCAAAACCATCTTCTGCAAGATAGGCTATGTTAATACATACTAATATCTTTCATTAGAGTAGGAGAAGGCTTTATTAAATTAGATTAACAAGTTAACATAAAGATCTATATTTCCTACAAGTGCTATAGTTAGAAACTTAGTAGAAGAAATAAGAGGATGCTTTGTAGGGAAGAATTGGATGGTTAATTTCGTCAAGTAATATAAAAGTTGTATTCAAAGTCGGTATCTCCGTTGTATTGATAATTTGCATATCAAAACCAATAATGTGAATATGTTTGAATACTTTTATGATTTTGTTAGTACTATTTTATATTGTTGTTGATTTATATTATTTAAAAAAGCTCTTGTTATTATTATTATTATTATTATTATTATTATTAGTAATTTTTCAACCGGGCCGTATAGGCGAGCCTCCCAGGGGGCATTACGGTTGGGCTAAATGCGGGATGATCTTCTAATTTACATGATCCCCCTTTCCTAGGGATGGGGTCTCAATACCCTTAGTAGTCTCCCAAGCGATGGCTAATGCACTTGCGTCTTTGTCTCTGATCCTCTGAGCGTTTCCGTGCGTGCTTTCCGATCTCCTATATAGTATTTGTTTGAAAGCTGCTTTATTCTGTAAGAATAGCTTTTGTATATATTCTATTGCAATATGATATACCGTATACTTCAATTTTCTTCCACATAGCTTTTCTAGATCTATCCCCTCCTACTTCCTGCTTATGTTCGCCTAGATCATCCAATCCCTTTCCTTCTCTCCTTTTATTCTTCTGATAGTGTTTTAGGGTATATGCTTTTATAGAAGTCTGTTATAGCAATAAATTTAGCAAATTTGGCTAATATATATATTAACTATTTTAATAGTCATTTTTGAATGTCTTACTATATGTTATACGTATAGTAAGTGGGCTTAGGTCCCCAATGTTCGTTTGCACTTCCCCAAATTGTTTATTCCTATTATTGTAAAATAAAAAGTTATCTACTAGGCCCTTAAGGCCTAGTCGTCCTATATAGTCTTTGACTGAAGGTGGACGTAAATTCAATCAATCAATCAATCAATCAATCAGTCATTTTTGAACTGCTTAATTACAGGATAAGTATTTGGGCTTAATATCTGGAGGCTAGGTTTTATAGATCACAAGAACTTTATGGTAATGTATAATATACTCAGAGGATTTGAATACTTTGTATAAGTAATAGATTGTTATTTCCTTATATTTAAATTATTAATAATAGCTTTTGAAATTGTTATATGCTGAGTGGATTGTTAGTATGTAATAAAGAATTGCTTATAAAAGTTCTAGTTCCTTAAAGTATTTGTTTATACTCTTTAAATTCTATTTCTGATATTATTTGGAGAGTGTTGATATCTATTTGATTTATTATACTTGTACTATTAATTTCATAATGGTTTTTTGCTATAAAACGAATACTACTCACTATAGATCGGTTTGTATATCCTGAGACTGATTTTCTTATCCCTTTATTAGCGAGTACATCTGCTCGCTTATTCCCTTCAATCCCTATATAGCCTAACAACCATTTGATTTAGATTAGGTGTGTTTACATCAGTTTGTAATATTTAAGGAAGGCCTATTACAATATAGTAAAAACTGTGCTTTTTATTTCTTATATCACTAATGTGCTATCAATATACATACAGATTTCCATCCGTTTTATATCAATGATATTTCTGATCGCTGCTTAGAGGCCTCGGTATACCCCGATTGCTTCCGCGTCGAATATATAAGAATTATAATGCAATCCATTGTTTCCTTTGTATACTACCATCTGTCCTCTGTATACAACATATCCATATCCTACTCGCCTATTATCCTTATCGGTTTGTTCCGATCTATTAGAGAATATAATAATCTAATCGTATATGTATTTGTTCTATCATTCTTGGAATTGCTCTACCGCTATCTCTTTTGTAAGGTTTTTAATGGGATCCGTTCGGCACTCTGGTGTGTAATGAGGCCCTACTAAAGTCGTCTCCTTGATTCGGGGAAGGCATTAGCTAATCACCTAGACCTTTGTTCTGACTGACTGTAATTGGCCTTCCCTGCTGCCAGAGGAGTAGGTGGCTCTTATCCCTCGATAATAAAAAGGGTGTTTTGGATTAATAGTTTAGGCATAAAGGGCTGCTCTCCATTTTATCTGTTCTAGTGCTATTTTTGCTAATGGGAGAGCGCTGTTTCTTATTATTACTATATTCGGGGTTGTTCGCCAGACTGGGAGGACTTCTCTGATTGTTATTCATAGAACCTTATTAATAGTTAAAATCGCTCCTCCTAATCGGGCACTCATTATCACTAATGTCCCGTCTTGATGCTATCCAGTGGTTTTTATTTGTTCTGTATACCATATCTTTATCTTATAGAATAAAGCTGGGTATAGGCAAGTGATTACTGCTTTCTATAGGAATGCTATTGGGAGTCCGTTTGTGATCCGGACTAGCCCTTTGATATAGTAAGCCAATTTCCGGCCTTTAGCTACTCGCATTTCGATATACTATTTGAATATGAGCTTATAATCGAACTATACGCCTAACTATTGTAGAGCTGATTCTGGTGTAATCGGAGCGATAGTACAGCCGCGATTTATTTCGTATGCCGGGTTGGTAGAGTGCTTGTGCCGTATCATGTGGATCATCTCCATCTTTTCAGATACAAAGATTATTTTATTCCTAGCTTCCCAGCAAAATATACTTTTCATATTTCTTGCTAGTATTGCGACGTTTTATTGAATACTTGCTGATAATCGGTATAGACAGATATCATCTGTATACCCGAATCGGAGTTTAGAGTCTTGCTGGAATAGCTCTGTGAGATAAAGTATATATAGAACTAACAAAAAGGGTAAGCTTTATGGGATACTGCATTTCATTATACTATAATTAGTTATTGCTTTGTTAAGTCTAACCTTGAATTGCCTCTAGATTAGGAAGGAGTCGATTAGAGCGATCAGATTCTATAGGAACCCCTATCCCCTTATTCGTTTCAGGAATCTGTTTTTAAATAGAGTATTGAATACTCCTTATATATTTAATGTAACTATTGTAATCTTATGGCCTTTATTAAATGCTACTTCTGTATTGTAAACAAATAATGCTACCAAGTCCATAGCCGATTGTTTCGGAAGGGCTTTGTAGTGTTGTGGGCTGAGTATTTCTTGCATTAAAGCTATTCATACTAGATGTCTTGCTATAATCCTTTCAAGGCCCTTCTCAATACAGAAGAGGAGAGCTATAAGCCACCATGATTATAGGGATGTTCAATCTGTCTTTCCTATTTTTGATAGTATAACTATCTTTGCTTGTTTTTATGCTATAGGGAAGTGATTAAACTATAGATATTTATTGAAAATGATATATAGAACTAAACCTATTTCTGTCTAGATAGCCTTTAGTAGTCTCACTATAATCCAATCTGTCCCTGGGGATGTATTTGAGATTTTTATAGTGTTACATTTTACTTCCTCTATAAAAATAGGCTTTCTCCAAAATAGTTTTTCCCCTTTTTGATTGTATCCGGAGTTCGGGAGATCGTCGGTGGCTTTGAAGCACTATAGAATCTTCGAGTGTAGCAGCTCGGCCTTTTCCTTATCTGTTATAGCGGTGCGTTCGCCTATTATAATCGGTGGAAAGCGGTATATGGGGCTCAGATCGTGCTATCCGATCACTCTATACAGGTCTCGATCTGATTTTATCTCATTAAGGAATTTCCTCCAGTACCCTCTTTTGGCCTGTCGTATGTACGATACAGAAATGAATTATATTATAACTACTTTCTAGAATATCTTATAATACAAAGTAGGTTCGCTACACCTACAAACGCTTTCCCAGCTCACTTATAATAAAACCACTAGTACTAGGCCTCTATAGAATCTTCTGACTACATTAAACCACCTATTGTATGATTACCTTTGAAAGTTTTGACCAGAACCAAAACCATTCCTCTACACCTTTATTCCTGTTTGCTCCTTAAGCCTATTTGATACCTCCATTATGCCCTCTGTTTTATAATATCCGATTATAGATTGATACACACATTCGTTCTTTCGAGCTATATAGATAGTATCGCTATCACTGTTATTATATACTATGCCTCACAGCTAATAACCATTTCACATTATCTTACCGGATCTCTTCTATACAATAAAACTGATTATATCTTACAGGCTTGCTATTTCAAATCTCTAGTCAAATAGCCTTTCTATAATGTTTCCAATCCACTAATCAAAGCTCTACTTATAGAATCTATTCCCCCAATATATAGTTTGTAATCGAAAATAGAGCACTAGGAGCATATTGCATATATATATTGTAGAATTAATCTCTACCTGAAATCCTCCGCCGCTATAATACCGATCGAGCATTATCAAATATAGCTTGCTAAAAGCATCCTTCCTGTATTAAAGCTTCTTTATCGCTATACCACTCCTATATATTCAAAAGTAAGATATTAAAAACATCCCTCCTTTTATTCTATATATACTCCCGCTAGTCTTAGTAGATATTATTCTAGCTTTTATATACTTTCTATTACTCCTCTTATCATTTATAAATATCCAATTTAATATACTTGTAAATCATATGTATTATTGGGTTATGAAAACTCTGTATGCTAGTACTCTAGAAATGTTCTATCGATTTTTGT